CCTCAAGAAGCTTACAGATGAGATGACAATGGGCTGAGGCTGTAGCTCAATGCAAAGGCCCCGTGTTCAATGTTCCATCCTTAGTACCACAAGGGGGGGCACTTTTATGAAAAACTGCAGCTCCAGAACACACAAGTTACTTAAGGTTACAATGCCTTTTCCTTTCCCTTTCCTTTTTCACTCAAAAAAAAAAAATTCCCCCCAGGGGTCTTAAAGATACAATAAGCACGTAAATTATGCACTGGGCCATGTTTTCACCTATAAATTACTCATCCTCCCACAGCCTGCCATTGCCAAAGAAGTGCCTGCATCCTCGAACTTATGCAAATGTATGCGACACACATCCCAGATCACCCGTCCTGAGGACACCCCATGACCACAGCAAAAATCCCAGCCTGAGGGTATAATGCACCTCTGAGAGTACTTTTAAAATTCTGTCTAATAAACCTGTGCATGCCCCTCACTGACCGCCTTGGAAGTTCTTTTTTTGTGATGCAAGTCAGCGAGCCTATAACCTACTTCTTGGCTGCAGGGAGCTGAGGTCCCCAGCTCTTCTCAGATCCCATTTAATGACAAACATTATCACAGCCTATCCAGCTTTACACTCTTCCATGCCTATGGAAATCTCTCCTTCTACAGCTCGACCTATTGTGTCTGTGATCAAACATCCCATTTGTGGGCAGCCCGGACTTCTAGGTCTGGTCACAAGATAGCAGCCTGGCCTCTCGCTTTCACTTCACACCCCAAATTCAGCTCACTGTCTCCGTGGAGATCAGCTTCCTCTAGGGTGAGGTCTGTGCTAAATTCATTCCTCCACACTCTCCCCTCTGGAAGCTTCAAACTGCCACCAGAAGCCCTGACTTGGGGGCTCCTTTGCGGAAGTTGCTCTGCTTGGCCCCACCTCAGAGGTAAGCAAATTGGAAGGAAGACCAGTCTCCAGGGCACCTTGTGAAGTAGCTTGGAGCGAAAGCTCTGATGAACAAGAATCCCCGACATTAAGTAGTGACCAGCCAAACAATCAGATCTTCTCTCTTGGGCCTCGTATTAGTTTTCAGCCACTATGATAAAATATCTGAGGAAATCAATTTAAAGCAGGAAAGGTTTATTTTGGCTCCATTGCTTTTAAGCCAGTGATAAGGCAGAAACATCAAGACAGGAGGGGATGGCAGAGGAAAAATGATCCCCACATGCAGCCAGGAACTACAGGGAGGGAAAGAGCCTGAGAGGAAGGAGCCAGGGCCCAGACATAATCCACAACATCACACTGCCAAAACCCACTCCCTTCACCCAGGATGCCCTCCGAGTAGAGTGCCATCAAATTATGATTTCATCAGTGGATTCCCCTTCTGATGAAGTTACAGCCTTCATGGGCCAATCACTTTCCACAAGCCCATCAGCAACCAAGCCTTCAATACTATGAGCCTTTTGGGGGATACTGGAAACCAACTGTGGCAGACCTTTAAAGAGACAAGGGAGGCTTGTCATGCACCACATGGTGGTGCATGTCTATAATTCCAGCACTTAGGAGGCTGAGGCAGGAGCCTGAACTCTATAGTAAGACCCTGTCTCAAACCCTCCCAAAAAAATTAAAAATGTGGCACAGAGAAACTTAAATCGCCACAACCAGAAAAGAATCTCTCCATAACACATCATAATGAAAATTCTAGAAATTCAACAAAAGAAATTAATGTTAAAAGGTGTTAGAAATGGTAAGTTACTTATAAAGCCAAGTCTATTAAAATTAGACTAGATTTATAGCCAGGTGTGGTGGTGCACACCTGTAATCCCAGCACTTGGGAGGCTGAGGCAGGAGGATCACCACAAGTCCAAGGCTGAACTACATACCAGGATGCTGTCTCAAAAACAGGAAAAAAAAAAAAAAAAAAGAAAAAGACATACCAAATTTCTCAGCACAAACCTTAAAAGCCAGGACAGCTTGGGGTGACTTTTCAAGCTCTAAAAGAAAACAATTGTCTGTGGATGACACAATCCTCTACTTTTAAGACCCAAAAACTCCACTAAAAAACCTGTAGAATTATGGCCAGGCATGGTGGCACACACCTGTCATCCCAGCACTTGGGAGGCTGAGGCAGGAGGACTTCCATGAGTTCAAGGCCAGCCTGGGCTACATACTGAATTCAAGGCCAGCCTGAACTGCACAGTGAGATGCTGCCTCAAAAATCCAAAACAACAACAAAAAACAAAAACAATACACAAAAGTCAATAGCATTCTATACATTAATAATGAATTCACTGAGAAAGAAATTAGGAAAACAGTACCATTCATAGTGGCATCAAGAAAAATTAAATACTTTAGGAATGAACCTAACCAAGGACGTGACAGACAACAAAGATTACATCACTCTACTGTAAAAGGAGACTGACAAGGACATCAGAAAATGAAAAGATATCCCACATTCTGGGATAGGCAGAGCTGATACAGTAAGAGTAGCTTTAGAATGGTATCTTGGTTCATGAACTTAAACTGTTCTGAGTTTGGAAAAGATGGCCACAGTCATGTTTGTCACCTGATGCAGAGTCTGCAAACAAAAACAAAATTTTGCCAAACGTTTCTGTTTGCCAACCAAGCTGTTTGCAAACAAAGCATTCATGAACCAAGGTACCACTGTATTTCCAAAACTGATGCAAAGATTTAAAGCAACTCTAATCAAAGTATCAACAGCACTCCAAACAGATCTAGATAAAACTATCCAAAAATTCAGATGGAACCAGAAGAGAATCAGAACAGCAAAATCAATTCAGGGGAACAATACAAAAGCAGAAAGCATCACAATCCCACATTTCAAGTTACATTACAAAGCTTCAGTGATAAAAATAGCATGGTTCTAGCACAAAAACAGACACATGGATCGACAGAACAGAGAAGAGGAAGCAGAAACAGCCGCAGGCACATTCAGCTACTTAATCTTTGGCAAAGGGGCCAAAAACATACACTGGAAAAAAGATAGCTTCTTTAATCAATGGTGTTGGGAAAACTAGACAGACACATGCAGAAGACTGAGTCTAGGGCCGGGGATATAGCTCAGCGGCATAAGCGCCTTCCTGGCAAGCGCAAGGTCCTGAGTTCGATTCCCGGTACCAAAACAAAAAAAAAAAAAAAAAAAACAACTGAGTCTACAGCAGTAAACAGTAACCACCGAATAACCACTGGATCACAGGAAAATTGGGGAGAAATACCAAGTTTCTAGAATCAAATGACAATGGAAGCACAACATGCCAAAACCTGCGGGACACAATGAAAGCAGTTCTAAGAGGAAACTTTACGGCTGTGAATGCACACACTTAAAGACCCGAACGACCCCAAATAACCTAGTGATACAGTTCAAGGTCCTAGAAAAAACAAGAGCAACCAAATTAACGAAAAGATACTACAAAGATCACAGTGGAAACTCATTAAGTTGAGACTACAAAAGCACAAAGGATCAATGAATCAAAAAGTTCTTTGAAAGAATAAACAAGATTAATAAATTCATAGCCAAATATACCAAAATAGGAAAGAAAAAACTGACATCAATGCAATTAGGAATGAAAAAGGCAAAAATCACAACCGACGCTGGTAAAAATCAAGATCTTGTAAGAAACGGTTTTGAAAACGTGTATTTCAATAAATTGGAGAACTCAAGAAATACAGACATTCCTAGACACCTACGAGTCACCAAAATTGAACCTAAAAGACATAAAAACTCGCAACAGACCTGTAACAGGCAACGAAATAGAGGCAGTAATGAAAACGCTGCCAACGAAGAGAAGCCGACGGGTACACCTCTGAACCCGACCAGAGAGAAAGCAGTGCGCCACAGCCATTCCTGGACGCCGCCCTTACCGTGACACAGAAATCGGACCAGGACTTCACACAAAACACAAAACCACAGGCCAGCCTCGTCGGGGGACGCAGGTGCAAAAGTTCCAAACACGACAACCGGCAACGGTGCCACAAACCACGACCAAGCGCAAATCACAACCCAGGCGGCCTCGGCGAGGGGATGCCGGCGCGGGTCAGCACGCAGAAGTCCATAAACGTGAAACACCGCGCAGCGCAGCCCGCGCCGGGCCCACTCGCCCGCCCGCCTCCCTCTAGAACTGTCCCCGGCCCGGCCCGGCGCTGGAGAGCGGGCGGCGCGGCACCTGCTAGCGTTCGGGCCCGGCCCACGCCGGGCTCTGACGCGAATATAAACAGACCGGTACCGCCTCCCGGCGCGGAGCGCGCGCTCGCGAAACGAATGAATGGGCGCCCGACTCGTGACGCGGCCCGCGCGCGAGCAGAGCGCGCCCCACCCAC